ACATAGAGATCTTGAGGGCATATAATATCTTGGTCTTTTATTGTGCATGATACAGTATTCCAGGTGCTATAAATCACATTCCATGAGGAGGGATGCCACCAACAAAGTATACGGCTAGTTCAAGAAGATATCAAGAATTGCTTCCAAGTTGGCTAATCTGATGTTGTCTTGTAACAAACTCAATGACAATGTCCTTAGCTTCTTCTGTGGCTTCTGCTACTTCATCATGATCAGTTGCAGTTTCGTAACTAAGCTGGTCATTGTGTTTCCAAGATTGCTGGAATTAACTGAAAATTGCAATATTTGTACCAGAGAAAAGCCTCATAAAGTCTTCGAAAAAACATGCCAGGATAAGTTCTAAGATATGATGCTGGCATGCCATATACAGAAGATTCTTGTTTAATTTTTGTTCTAACAACACACATGCTCCATTCCTGTGATCAGTGTTACTTGCTGTTGTGTCAAAGCAAACTATCTTCACACAATCAATGACTCTCCACTCTTCCAGCAAATGTGCAACAGCACAATGTTGACTCTTCAATGCTAGAAATCAATTTTAGAATACTTAGGACATACAGATATAATGCAAGCTACAACATAAAATTTCAACTACCTTGAGAAACCCCTAATTAATCCACCAATATGTTAAAATCATTTTCTTCAGCCACATTACTGAGTGAGTTACTGTCTATAATAAATGTGTGATCCAAACTGTGATAACCCAAATGTACTACCTTGAACTTAATGCATTGCTAGTACTTGATATAGTAGATATAATATGGTTGACATATCATTATACACTCTTTACTTTCACTCAGAAGTAATTATTAATAATCTAACTAAAGATAATTCCAAATTGATCCAAGTCATTCTCTGATAACTCAAAATCTTCAGTAATGGTAGGAATACCAAAGAGCTTGATGTCATCTGCAAACATTAATAAATTACTGATTATGTCCCTTCAATAACATTAACACAAATAAGAAAATGCCCAAGCACTGACCCATGAGGTACTCCATTAGTTAGTTCTAGAGCTGGTTCAATTTCTGGAATTTGATAATTGATTAATTGTCTGGTTAATTAATCAATTATAATCATCTAATTAATCTCATATGAGATTTGAATAGTTGGATGTTTTGTGTGACACTTTATCAAGAGCTTTTTTTGAAATTCTAAGTACACCATGTCTACATCCTTTCCTTGATCCAAATAAAAAAGATATTATTTTCTTGGAACAAGATAACAGATTAGTAAGGCAGGAGTTTCTTGCAATAAATCCATGTTGGCTTTCATTTATATCACCATATTTCATCAAATGATATTGTAAAGTTTATTTTATTAGACTCAAGAATAATCTTACACTACAGATATACAACTGGCCTATAATTTCCAGGACAACTCTTAAAAATTTAGAGGATGGCTGCTAGGATGATTCCTTGACTAAAAGTGTTATCTTATAAAGATAAGTTAAGATCCCATATTTTTTCATGAGAAAAGAAGGGCAAGATTAAATCTTTTTTTGAAGTTTACAAGATTACTCTGAGAATCACTAAAATAAAGGATTCTGATTTCTGTGTGCTATATTCTTAAGGTAATAGGATAAGAGGACACAAGTTCAGAATCTGGAAAAGGCAAGCTAGTCTGATTTTAAAACCATTTTATTTTTCTAACAAGGTGACTGACTTATGGAATGAATTTAAGAAGGGGTTACATTTTTACTTTTCTTAAGGGTGGGTGCACAAGGAGAGCTTTGAAGGACTAAACTACCCCTTGTTGTCCACAGGATATGTTAAGAAGACATGTTTTCTTAAGCTTGGACTATGCAGGTGCTTCTTAGTACATCATGTCATAACCAGACAATTGTTGAACCCCTTGGTTCTTCTCTGCACTCTATGACCTATAACATCCCATGCTTCAATACCTGGCAAGTAAATGCTGGTCAGTCTTTCTATGCTCCCAACAATAACATAATGAATACAAGGGACCTTTTAAGTCATCCTATTCACTAGCTTAAATCCAGTTCTATCATTCAAATATTTACCAAGCTTTCCCTTAAACTTTCAAAATTTGTAATGCATACTGGAGGGATTTACACATTTTAATAATAACGTTAGAAAAAAATGATCTTTACACTCCAGTTAATTATTAAAAAATATTAAAACAATTATAATATCCTAAACATTGTTAGAAGCACATTAAGGAAGACTCAAGAAACAGAACATAAAAAACAATTATTAAATTTAACGAATATTGTAATATCAAATGGTTTTATGTAATAGCCCTGAAGAAGCCACAAAGGCAATAATTTTGGTTAAAATAAATGTCCTCTTATACATCAGGGGACAAAATTTCTGGGTTTGCATTGCAATTTGTGAATCAAACTAACCCCAGTTGCAAATCACTTTCCTCTTTACTTAGCATAACATGTGAATCATCTCTTTAACAGTGAAAGTGCTACAACATTTCAGTTTGATTTACCAAAGCCAAAAATTCCCACCAAATACACATGCAATACTGTCACACTTTGTCATGCTCATATCGCATACATATTAGGGGTCCATTGAATTTACTTAGTTGAAAATTTTATTTTGTAATTGCTAGTCAGTAGGGTGTGTGTGTGTGTGTGTGTCATGATAAAAATGACTGTTTTGTTCAGATATTATTGACTAATTTAGTTTTATGAGTGAATGTTTTATTACTGTTTAGTTTTTCTTATAATAAGAGTTAAAAGCAGATGATTATAGAATATTTTGTTAATAATTCATTGATGTTAAGAATATCGAACGTCACTTGCAATATATCGATGTCGTGAATATAGAAGGCGGACAGACGACTAGGTAATAAAAATATAAATAGTGTGAGATGAACAGGAAGCAGCAGCCAGATAATAGCAAAAGAGAATAAAGTTGGTGTGAAGTTAACTATCATAGATGTGATAGGCCTAACATTTAATATGTTAGAGTGAAACTAACAGTTGAGAATTGGCAGGCTTTAAAAGAATAACACTGACTGTGGGAAGTATGTGAAAGGAAACTAGTGCTTAAGTGTAAGAAAAATGTCAAATTTCAATACAGTCTAATTTCTTCTCACACAAAGCTAGAATCCCACTTTGCAATGGTGTAGGGGCCAGTTTAAGTGCACTATATACAAACCAAGTGGAAAGAAACTGCCCAGAATGTACAAGTGTGCTCCAAAATGAAAATGAAGCACTACTTCTGGAATAGATATGCTGTTTGCCCTTGAAGTAGGAATTGAATCTGATACAGGCAGAAAAAAAATGTCCACAAATACAATTTGTTCTGAGAGGTGCAATCCACAGTAAAATATAACACAATTAGTTTTGTACATGCACAACCTAAACCGGACAGATGAGGTTCCATAACTCTGGCTCAACATTAGGAGATTGAGGATAAAAAAAAAAGAATGTATTGTAACATAAACATAGTGGCTAGGGAATGTGGACCATGTTATTATTGTTTTTCTATATATTTTTTATTGTTCTATGTTTTATATAGCTACAAATTAAGTATTTATGTGTAAATAGTAATAACATATGCATGTTCATAAGCATTTACCCACTTTGTACACTTGTACTGCTAAATTCCAACCACCATAGGAGGATAACTATCATACAAATACCTACCAAGTTTATTGGATCAGCCTGGATTTTCTACAGTGCCATACCATAAACATTTTCTCACACTATTATTACTTTAAACAATTTTTGTTGCAACCATTGTACTGTAAACAAGCTTATAAATCCTCTTCCATGGTGTTCTCAAAGCTGGGATTACAATAAACTCTGTGGTAATTGTTGCCTTATTTTGCTGTATATGATTTTTTGCCATTGACAGTGTCATATTACACTCATGCAAACAGTCTAATGGCAGGAGCAATGATTCACTGCTTTATGTTCAGCAGGTTTCTATTTCTGCTGCTAACAACAAAATAAACATCAGAAATAGAGGTAAAAAGGTTACAAGTAAAAACTAAAAAGGATAGAACACTACTACTCAATTTATATTGCATTTTTATAATAGTATTCACGAGTTGGTCAAATTGATCAAATACATATAGAGTTAGGGTACAGAAAATAACAGAAAACATATTTTACTGAAAAAACATTGGATATTTATTTAGGAGGTTCTAAAAATTATGCAATTGAAATTTTATAATTTTCTAATGAAGAAGAGTATTTTTAATCTTAAATTGAAAATCATTTTGCATTGGAGCTGTTAACACTGACTCTTTATACTTATGGGCAGAATTTTAGTAAAAAAAATATACACAAAACATATTAAAAGGTATGGTATGGTCATTTTGGGTTCTAGTGGTCAGTGTAATTCCCGAGACAGTAGTGAAAGGGTTAACTGC